GGGTTTAGGGTTTAGGGTAATAAGGATCCTATTATTTGGGATACTATATTAGGGTCCCCTATTTTCAGAAACCCCCAAATCTGCATAATTCGACTGGTATGGATCAGTAAGTATTGGGGGCGTTATTTCTGAAACAAACAAAGGACACACGCACACACAACACCAACGAAAGCGCGCACACACCCCAAAACCCTAAACCCTAAACCCTACACACTAAACCCCTAAACCCCTAAACCCCTAAACCCTAAGCCCTATAAACCCTAAAACCCTAAATGTGCATTCAGGTCTTTTTGCGAGGCAGGAGCTATTAGGGTTCGATCAAGGCATACCTTAAACTACCAAAACCTACTTTTTCGTAGGGTCCCTATAGATTCGATATGAGGGTTTATAATAAGGACCTACAAAAAAGTAGGTTATGGTAGTTTAAGGTTTAGGGTTTAGGGTCTTGCAGGCTAATGCCTTTGGTAATGAGGGACCAGATTGTAGACTTTCCGAGCCAGGTAACACAGGGCCTCTGTTCCTGGCATTCGACGAAATCAACAGCCCAAATAAACGCTCATCACGCTTCGAGTCCTACCTACAATCGACAACATACGTGCAGCCAGACCCACTAGCGCATTCAGGTTTTTCTTGGATTGAGGCGTGGAGGTTTCTCCTGTCTGCCTGAGGGATCACTGGGCTCAGCAAGGATTCTGAAAAGGGGTGAAGGGTTTACAGGGTTTAGGTTTCCAGACCCTACGCCCTGAACTCTATGAAATTGGATTATCGAAAACGAAATCCTACCTGTAGCCCCTACCTTCTTACCAAGCCCTATAAGGCTCTAGGCAGGGCAGGGTTTAGGGTTTAAGGTCTGGGTGGAAGTGCCGCTCTTGCCAGTCCAGCGGCAATCTGAACTGTCTCATGCGGCAAGCCTGGTCGCAGGGAGTGGGCTGTTATTGGCATGGACAACAGAGAAAGGAACTTACCTATAGTAGCAAGAGACTCCAATAGCCGGTTACCTAAGGCATGTACCTTAAATCTTGCTCAGGCCGTCCGGCAGTTCAACGTGTTGCGCGCTTGGAGCCTCCGGGAGCGCCTAGCGTTTTCCAAGCTCAGCAGGACTATGGGGCCTCAACAATAGAATGGGGTTCAGGGTGTAGTTTAGGGTATATAAAGTGATAGAAACGACTCGAAAAGAACAATATTGAGTAGTAACTATAGCGACTTACACCCAGCTTGTGATCACCAAACGACTAACAGCCTTTAGACTTTAGAGCAAGATCAGCGCAGAAACAGCACGGATCTAGTACATGAGAATATCGGGCAGTGTAAAAATAGACGAGGTTATTCCCCAAAGGCTCCATGTACCTTTATAGTAGATACTTTGGCCTTAAAGTACCTATATAGGGACCCCTTTGAGGCCTAAGTATCTACTATAAGGGTACATGGAGCCTTTGGGTTCTGCAGCATCGGAGCTTACAGCGGTAGCAGAGACTTCAGCGGTAGCAGCACTACTACAGACACAGGCGCCTAAGCACCAACATCCGGGTTTAGGGTTTAGGGTTTAGGGTTTAGGGTTTAGGGTTTAGGGTCACTATTCAACCTACTTCAAGTTACCTTGCACAAGTAACATGCCTAGAATCTAGAACGATGGAAAGGGTCAACCTCGTCATCACCATAGCAACACATCGAGACGAAATGCCGTCATTGCAGCAAGTAG